ATAAGAAAACCGGAGCGTGACAAATAAAACTTAGCATGGTCCTTCCCCATAACAACCTATACTGTACCTCTATGGCTCTAACAATGGTTTCATTCATATATTTAATGGTATTACCCTTGCGAATTACCAAAGAAAAATTCTGTTGAAAAAGTTACCTTTAATTTTATTTTATAGGATAGGGTGACAAACGAGCACACAGGCCACCTGATGGTAAGTGGATGCTGTGACCCATAGATATCTACATCTATCTTCAATAAAGAATCAAAACGTTGTCACCCGTGAGGACTAAGATAGAATGCCTCTTTTCCAGTACAAAGGTTCTCCGGTTCTCTACACTCACCATACGAAACACAGCAGCATGAAGCTGCTATTTGACGCTAGTATTCTGTGAGAGCGTGGTCCTTCCCCGTTCGAGCCGACCCATTCGTGCTGCAACTATACTATAATATAGCTGCAGCATGGCTCTACCACGTATAATATATCACTAAACGTTCGTTTGTAATATGTTCGTGTACAAAGAGTTCTTCTAGAGCAGTTTAGACTAACCTGACTAAGACTCCTTAATTAAAAAAAATAGTTAAAGACAGATAAGGTATTAGTGAAACCGCACAATTAATATATTATAATTATTTTATGTTCTACGTATTTTATGTACAAGCGTGGCAGACGACCTAGATACTCTAGGGACCTTAATAGCTTGTTTCCTAACGAAGGCGACCTAATCAATGACCTGTGACATTTCTGCGCCAATAACATCCTATCTCATGAAGTGTGTTATCTAGAAAACTTAGGAAATTTTCTTCGCTTGATCGAAGAGCAGAATATTAATACCCATTTCTAAATAAATATATTTTCGTTCTATTTTTTTTTTTATAGAATGGGGATGACAAACGAGCACACAGTCCACCTGATGGTAAGTGGATGCTGTCGCCCATAGACATCTACATTTATCCTCGATTAAGGATCAAAATGCGAATCATACGAAACACAGCAGCATTAAGCTGCTAATTTTCGCCGTGGTGGCTCAGAGTTAGCGCTCGCTGTGAGTTTCGCTGTAGCGAGCAACCCAGGTTCGATTCTCGCCTGCACCAATTAAATTGTTAATTGCAATTTTAATTGCTGATTTACCACGGGCTCGGCATCGTGAGTAATTAATTTCGTGAAAAATTAAGTGAGTGAAAAAATAATTTCAAAGACATGTGAAGTTTGCCAACATTGGGGCAGCGCGGAGGAACTTTCCTTGCCCTGAAACCCTCTCAGAAATAAGGAGAAGCCTGTGCCCAGCAGTGGGACGTATATAGGCTGTAACTTTAACATCTAACTTTAACACAAATATTGTTTATATAGGATCTCTACATATTTCATGTTTATGATTTAAATAAGAAATACATGTTGTGTTAATTCGATTTTTTTAAATGTTTGGTAAATATATACGTTACATTAAATAAAACTAATTTTACATATTTTATCACATTTAATTTAAACTTTTTAATTCCCCATGTTTTAGGCTAAAGACTACAATATTATATAAGGTATTTCGGACGCTTTACAGCGCACATAGTTACCGGGGTACGTAGGTGTTTCACCTAAAAAGTTTAAATTAAATGTAATTAAATCCGTAAAACTAGTTTCATTTAATGTGTATTTTTTTATAGGATAAGGTGACAAACGAGCACACACTCTACCTGATGGTATTTGGTTACTGTGGCCCATAGACATCTACATCTATCCACGTTTGCGAATCAAAATGGAGATGCGTTATCACCCGTGAGGACTAAGATGGAATGCCTCTTATCCAGTAAAAAGGGTCTCCGGTTCTCTACATTCACCATACGAAACACAGCAGTTTTAATCTGCTATTTTACGCTGGTATTCTGTGAGAGCGTAGTCCGTCCCTGGCCGAGCAGGCCCATTCGTGCTACAACTACTCTACTAATGTAGCTGCAGCATGACTCTACCGCGTTTTTGCATAAATACGAGTATAAAAGAAATCCTTTATATATACGTTTCTTTCTCTTCTCTTACTCTCTTTAATAATTCTTATCTTGTATCATTGTTATCCTTGTCGGTAAATATAAATGAACATGAATGAAAATTTCAAGGACCCGAATAACTTTGTACCTTAAATTAACTCATAATTCAACCAACAATTTCACAATTTTCAGTAAAGGGAATGAAGAGTTTCCACAAAAGTATGAAATAACCTATTAAACAATACGCTTTTGTGCTTAGAGACGTTGAATGAAGTCCATTATTCTCTCAAAGATCTTTTCTTTCCATTATTTTGTAGGATAAACTCGACTGCCGCGGGTAATTTATGAAATTTTACATTAATTTGCACACCGTTGCAACTCCCGGTAGAATAATATTGAGACTTATTCTAATACTAAATACTAAAACATACTTTCTAACAGTGGTAGAGCCAGGCGGCAGCTTTTGCTGTCGCATGGATGGGCCGGCTCGAACCGGGGTAGTACCACGACCTCACAGAAAACCAGCGTGAAGTAGAGGTTTACCTCTGCGTTTCGCTTGGTGAGTGCAGGTGGCCGGAGGCCCTTTTTACTGGAAATGAGGCATTCCATCTTAGTCCTCACGGGTGACAACGCATCTACATTTTGATTTGTAACAGAGGATAGATGTAGATGTCTATGGGCCGCAGCAACCACTTACCATCATGTGGACTGTGTGCTCGTATGTCACCTTTATCCTATAAAAAAAAACCTGTATTGCCTAAACATTTTATTCTACAAATAAGATTTTGACTTTGACTTTGAATAACAATTCAGTTATGATTTCTTTACAATGTACCAATGTACTTTTTTATGGAATCAGAGTGACGAACAAACTCACAGTTTAAAGAACAGACACACAAGTGTATGCTGTGGCTCATATACAAATTTAGATGCGTTGTCACCCCTGAGGACTAAGTTAAAATGCTTCTTTACCAGTAAAAACAAAAGCATTAAGCTGCTATTTTACGCACGTATTATGTGAAAGTGGAGACCTTTCCGGGTCGAACTGACCCATTCGTGCTACAACCATAACATAGCCGCTCTACCTCGTTAAAAGACGTACATAGATGCGAAATAAAATGTGATTTGTATTTTAAACATTTTTTACCTATGAAGTAAAAGTATTCTTGAACACAATTAGAGGGAGAGGATCATTTTTTTAAAGATAATAAATTTACTATAATGCAAATTAATTAACTGAAGTTAATGCATGCCCCAATGCCAGGCATAAGCCGTTTTCTATATCTGAGAGGGTTTTAGGGTAAGAAAGTGTACGCCGTGATGTCCCAATACATCACAGTCATGTCTTAGAAATATTTTTATTATTATTTCTCAGACATGCAGGTTTCCCCACGATCTTTTTCTACTTGAACTATCACGACTGGATGCAAAGTAATTTCTCTTTTTCTAAGTAATCTGTTTCTTCTTCTTTTAATAGTCGGTAACTGAAAATTCGAAGAATATCTAATGGTTTCTGATAAGTACCGATTAGAATTGCAGAACAGTAAAGCCGAAAGGGATATTAAATTTTGTTATATACAATATTACAAACTAGAATAATAAAAAAAGAGCTAAAACAAGAAACTTAAATTATCATATAGTCCTACTCCCCGCGGTATCGTGCCAAGAACGCTGGCTGCGTTTCCCCGCTGAATGGCTATACTTAGCCTTTGAACGAGAAAAGAACCAGCCCTTTTATCACCAGGAGCAACGTCCAGCCACGGATGGAGTTCCTTTAGGAACTTCACCGCACGTGGACCCCACAGGCCGATAGTCTCTACAGCAAATGGCACAAATATGTAGTCATCTCTCAGAGAGGTACCCCTGAGATGAGAGGCCGCCATTCTTTGGAGTTTCGTCGGGAGTTCGTGAGGAATAATAATTATGACTACATTTTACTTCTTTTATAATAAAAAACAAACCATCATTACTAATTATTACTTCTATTATTTTTTACGAGGCAGAGCCATGCTGCAGCTATATTAGTAGTATAGTTGTAGCACGAATGGGTCGACTCGACCGGGGAAGAACCACGCTCTCACAGAAAACCAGCGTAAAATAGCAGCTTAACGCTGCTGTGTTTCGTATGGTGAGTGTAGAGAACCGGAGACCCTTTTTACTGCCAAAGAGGCATTCCATCTTAGTCCTCACGGGTGACAACACATCTGCATCTTGAGTCTTTATTGAGGATAGATGTAGATGTCTATGGGTCACAGTAACCACTTACCATCAGGTAGAATGTGTGCTCGTTTGTCACCCTATCCTATAAAAAAATTAAAGGTAATTTTATCCTATAAAAAAAAAATTGCTCCCATCCCAGAGATGTAATGACGACCTGATAAGAGATGCATTCCTTAGCTGAGATCTATGTTCAGCAGTGGACTTGTGATTTACTGAATAAATGTATTATTACTAAATGGAGTATGTTGCTAGCATCTGTCTTTCCATCCGATTACAATGTGGGTGTCTTCAAGGCAAGAGTGAATAGGGTTTTGTTAAGTCAGTGCGCTTCACCATCTTAGGCTACATCACCACTTACCATCAGATGGGATAGTATTTAAGTGCTGGCTTAGAACAGTAAAAAATGTCATTCGTAGGACTGTACGTCAGAAGTAAAAACTTCGTAGCTTCACAAACTTATAAATATTATTTTTGGGTTTTTAAGAAAAAAATTTTTAGGAAGTATTTGTTATTATAAATTATTTTTAACAAGGATTAATAGAGTAAGAAAATTTTCGTTTATTGTTCTGTTTTACATGAAAAATAATAACAATTATCTATGTAACACAAACAAATTTATAAATTTAATCAATTGGATTTTAAACATTACTTTTATTATATTCTATTTTTTACTTTACGTATTATTTTTATTATTATAATTTATTTTCAGTGCTTTTTCCCCATCCCAAAACTACCCAATGTGTCTAAAGAAGTATTCACTCCAAAAATAAAAAAGTTCCTTTTTCTAATCTCATTTATTTTTTCCAGCTTATCTCGAACCCTACATCGTGCCAGCGAGCCTCGAACAGCTCCTGGTAGCGAGTGACGTAGTGGGCAACATCAGATTCAGCCACCCCACGCTGTACGTATTCCCAGGGGGGCAAGGCGACGCAGCCCTATTCGGCATCAATGGATTCAACATGCTAGGTAAGTGCCAAACTACTATCACCTGCAGGAAGATCAGAGCTGGGCTTAGGGTCCAGTCTTAGCAAATATTTTATCACATTAACTCACGTTATTGAATATAAATTATCTATTCTATTCGTATTTTGACGGCTCCATGGCTCAGTTTCTTAGCAATGAGTTGCAGAGCTGAGAGCCCAGGGTTCAAATCCTGCACGGACTAAGTGTTTGGGGCTGTCGATGCTTGTCCTTGTAAAATCTGTGTATGTAAACTGCCTCCACGATACAAGAGAAAATTCTAGTAGGTGGGGGTAACGTTCTTTTAAACAAAAAAAAACTAACTTTTTAAATTGGCTTACTCTATTAGAATTATCAATTACCATAATTAATTAAAGTATACCGACCAAATTGTCGCCATTTTTAATTTGAGCCATATTAAGAGTAGGTAACCCGTACCAACAAGTATGCACGCGTTTATATAGTGATGTGTAAGAATAAGAAGCGAAAATTCCATACAATAAATTTTTATACTTGATGCGAAAAATTACCTTACCAAATTGTTCATCTTGTAATATTATCGATGATGTTTATCACATTTTGATAGAAGGTGCCCAGAACTCAAAAGAAAGAGTAAATTGTATTGTGTCCTTAATTGGTAGTAGTAGGAATAGTCATAGAATTATTACGCATAGAAACGCAGTCCAGTACAAAACACGAGCGTTAAAATGATGCAAAGTCATAATGTTAGTGGGCGCGAGTCGAATGTGCCTACGCTCGTCACACGCACACATACACGCCATTCAGTGATACCAGTGTCTGGCGTTTGCAATCAAATTGTGCAAATCACTATTTTTTGATTAATTTTAAAAAATCGATATAATAAAGATTACGTATTACGTACGAAGATATATTTTATGAGAATATAAAATGGAATAAAATAAACACGATAATGATGGTACTAATATAACTTAATTATACATATTTTAATGGTACAAAAATACAGACGTAATAAAGTTTAAGAATATTATTAAACACAATTAATTTGCTCGAATACAATAAGCACATCGTGTATTATTTAATTTTAACCGACTTCAAAACAGAAGGAAGTTTTCAAATCGGTGTATTTTTTTAAAATGTTTTTTACCTCAGCATTCTACAATTTCTAAACCGATTTAGATTTTTTTATTTGAAAGGATATACACACAGATTGATCCAATATACATGCTGAAATTTTAATGGTTGTTTTCCCGATGTCAAATTATTTTGTCTTGGTAGTAATTATTTTATTAAAATTAGGATGCAAAAATGGCAGATTTACAATCGAGAAAACAAAACTCGAATGCGATCTCAAAACAATAGCAATATCTCGCAAGTAGGTCGGGCGTGCAGGCTAGCTTATACCGTATTACTATAATAAAGTCTGAAAAAAAATTCGCTGGATGTAACTTAGTGTTACGTCTATCGCACGCGCTACCGCGCACTGCCTACACAGTGAATAAATGTTCAGAACATGAACTCTCAAGCGTAGTGATACGACATAAACTAGTAAATATAGAATTGTCTTAGAAATCAGTGTATATACATATTGATAACCTCTCCTTTTTGGGAGTCGGTTAAAATATACTATGTTTGGGTCTAAAATAACATCTGGTTAATGTTTGGGTGTAAAGTGACATCTGGTCAGTTAAGGCGTTCTTATTAATAATATCTTGATGTTGTAAATAGGAAAGTTTTTATTCTATACTCTAAAACGTAGACTTAGTCAATAAACAAAGCAATTAAAATAGTTAAGCAATTAAAGAAGCGAAAAAGGTTTGTAAGGATCGTGACACTTGGCGATCTGTTCTCTCTGGCTACCCCGTCAGGGATTGTGCGTGAAGATAAGTAAGTAAGTAATTAAAATAGTTGCGTTAAAATGGCGTCGGCGAATCGCGATTAGCTGATCACTCCGTATTAGTTTTAAATAGGTACCCATTGTTAATATTATGTTAATACTTAGAGAAGTAGGTATCTATATATATACATTTGAGTTTTAGAGAGAGCTTTGCGATTAAACGTTTTAAACACAAATAGAAAATAAATATTTTTAAAAGAAAATTGTGATTTTTCCCCACAACTAGCAACATTTGTATTAGGATAGCTTAGGTAAGTATTTTTTTAGTTTTACGTAGTTATAATGAATTAAATATATAAACTTGTATGTGAAATGCAGTACCATCACTTCTTTTATGTTTATCATCACTGTTGTGACAATCTTTTACAACAAAAACGGTCATTTTTACAATTTTTCGCGAGCTCTTCTCCGTAAGACATGACGTTGCGCACTGACGTGTCGCTGAGTGAACTAACGCGGTTTCGCGTTAGTTTAACTTGCTTCACTTTCCGTGCGCGTACTAGTATTCTATGCGTAATAATTCTATGGGAATAGTATTTCATCGAACCCGTTATCAGATGATACCAAAAAATTGTGTTTGTTAGTGAATAAGAGATTAAGTAACTAATAAGTATAAATAAGTTTATTTGTTAGTAAATATTTAAGATTTTTTGTAACTACCAGGGCGGCATAATCGCATCAGCGACAAAGCCCTTTATTTATGAATAAAAAAAGAAGCGAAAATGGCGTGTTAGGATTTTTGCCAAATGAAAGTACGTAGTCTGTGCCTACCTTTTTGAGTGTTCATCAACTATATTTTGGGTAAAATATAAATAACTTATGTAAAATCTACGGTGTTCCAGCCAAAATCGCTTACATTTACTTGATGGATGTATAAACAAAAGCAATTACTTTACTGGACCTAGTTTCAGCCTAAAATAATCGTCTACACTTAATTTTAGAAATGAATAAATTGAATATACACAGTTGTAGCCGACCGATAGCTGGATAAAAAATATACATTGACGGCTGCATGGCGCAGTGGCTTGGCAATGTGTTGCAGTGCCAAGGGCCGTGAGTTTGAATCCCTCACGGAACAAGTATTTCTATGGCCTACAAAATAATTATTCCGTGTCTAGATATTTGTCCTTGTGAAATTTGACTACGATACTTGACAAAATCCGAGTGTGGAGGATAACGTTTTTATTTATTTATTTAATACTAGCAATCCGTCCTGGTTTCACACGGGTGATTTCTGGACCTCGAAAACAGCGCCACCTACCGGGTCCAATTGTGAATCTTAACCCTCCAACTCAACACATACACAAAAATTCATTAAAATCGGTTCAGCCGTTTTCGAGTTTTAGCGAGACGGTTCGCGGTTTCACTCGCGTATATCACGCGTGTGAGCCGCGCGACATGACATGCCATCTCGCTCATATTGTTCAATCATTTTAGCTACAAAATTGATGGAGTACTTTTATCTATCGCATATTACATATATCTATAATTTTGTCTATAAATCATTTCGGGAGCAATATTTAAGGCTAGCTGAGAACGTACGTAATAATGTACGTGGTAGAGCCATGCTGCAGCTATATTACTGGTATAGTTGTAGCACGAATGGGTTGGCTCGACCGGGGAAGGACCACGCTCTCACAGAATACCAGCGTAAAATAGCAGCTTAATGCTGCTGTGTTTCGTATGGTGAGTGTAAAGAACCGGAGACCCCTTTTTACTGGAAACGAGGCATTCCATCTTAGTCCTCACGGGTGACAACGCATCTGCATTTAGATTCGTAATCGAATATAGATGTAGATGTCTATGGGCCACAGCAACCATTTACCATCAGGTGGACTGCGTGCTCGTTTGTCAGCATTATCCTATAAAAAAAGTGTAGCCTAATGTTACCCTATACTATTCCTCATAAATTTGGTAATATATAAAAAATAGAATAAAAAATGGAATATGCAAAAATAATTTTTCAAATCGGACTGGCAGTTCCAAATATTTACGTGTTTAAACAAACAAAAAAAAAACAAAAAAAAAACTCTTCCGCTTTAATAAATTAGTAGAGATTTAATTCTCCCGGTTACTAGATCATTAGACACTTTCACAAAAAAAAAATAGAGAAACTAAATATTATAAAACAAATCACAATACAAAGTATCTGACCTAACAGCATGACAGATCAACTATAATGTAGACTCGTTTAGAAAAAAACTGTTACTATTAACTTGATAAATAACAGCCATTCGATGTCAGCGAAACACTAGGGTGATTTCTTTTTGAAAAACCTATAGTCGACTTGGCACTAGACCAAGTCTTGAGAGCCGGCCGAGGTCAGGTTCTTATTCAGTTGACGCTTAGAAACGCGCCATATTTTTATTTGTCGCTCTAGTGCTTATCTAAGATAAGGCTAAGCTCTAAGTTGTAACCTTCAAGAGGTTACGCTCGAAATAACAAAAACATTTTTTGTAATAGGCGGTTTTGCAAAAGTCTAAGCTTTATTTTATTGTAAAACTAGTGACCCGACAGACAGACAAAAATTTCAAAAATTGATTTACGTGTCTTAATAACCCCCTGAGCTAGATAGAATGCAGTTATTTCGATATTACAGACAGACGTAACGTAAGTGGACGTTTTGTAAGTGGTAGAGGCATGCTGTAGCCATATTACTGGTATAGTTCGTGGTCCAAGGACCACGCTCTCACAGAATACCAGGGTAAAATAACAGCTTGACACTGATGTGTTTCGTATGGTGAGTGTAGAGAACCGGAGACCCTTTTTACTGGAAACTAGGCATTCCATCTTAATCCTCACGGGTGACAACGCATCTGCATTTTGATTCGTAATCGAGGATAGATGTAGATGTCTATGGGCCACAGCAACCACTTACCATCAGGTGGACTGTGTGCTCGTTTGTCACCCTTGTCATATAAAAAAAGACACTTTAATTTTATTTATATGCGTAGATGATTTAATTAGCTAGAGGCACCTCTCATGTACTGTGACTGCAGCACTAATGGGTAGGCTCGATCGAAAAACGATCACGCACTACTGGAATAAAAGTGTAAAAAAAAAGAATAATGATACTGTGTTTCGAATAGTTAGTGATATGAAGCAGATACCCTTTTTTAGGGTTTCAGAC